AAGGAAGGTTTTTCATGTGGCTTCCATGGGAGGGAAAGGGTCTGAGGAAGGAAAGAGGTGATACTGCATCAAAAAGGGCTCCTTTCACTATTTACCACAGGTGGTCAAGAGTTCCTGGTAGTTCCAGAAATGGGACTTTTTTTCACTAAAAGTAAAAATGTCAATGTTTAAAAGAATAAATGGAATGGTCTGAACAGCTGTTGGCCTTGTCGGCCTGAGCACTGTCTTAGACAACAGCTTGGAGGAGCTACAGCCAATTTGGTTAAGATTTTGTTTTTTGTTAATACTGTATCTGATAAAACTTGCTAGTGAATTTTATAAGCAGCTGTGATTTGATTCTTAGTCTCTTGTAGCATACTTCCCTGCAGGCCTGAGACTTTCTGCAGCTTCTCTCAGGATAGAACCAAGGCGTTCATCTCCTTTTAAATGAACTCCTAAGATTCAGACATCTGGTCCCCACATCCTCCTGCCCCTCAGTTTTCCTGTATGAAGTCCTCATGCCTCCCTGACTAGTAACTTCTGGAGCTCTTGTTAGCAGGCTCTGTTTTGGTCAGCAAGCACAGTGCGTAGTGCAGGCCTCAGGGCAGGCACCTGCTGCATTTGGCACTCGGTCTTGTCCAGTTACGTGCTAGAGTAGTGTAAGAGAAATGATCTCACGTATGACAAGTTCCTGTTGTGAGCATGGGTCACTTTGACCCCGTTTCTTCTTTCCTGTGTACGTTGGAATGATTTTAATGTACCATATCCACCTTTGCAGCATGTTTGTGAAGCAAGTGGAAATGAAGTGATGTAGCCTTGACAAACAAGAACTGAGTAAAGAATCCAAATCTTGCGTATAACTCTTGTATCTGATCACGTGGTGCAAGCTGCTCGGTGTGGAATGCATGCACATGCAACACCGTGCACATCTTGGTCATCCTGCAGGACTGGTGTGTTGTAACAAGCCTCTTTCCCTACTTTTCAGGTTGCTGAAGAACAAGGTCAAGAAAATCCTGTAGATCACGATCCCATTCATGATCAAAGTTGGTACTTGGATCGATCTCTAAGAAAACGCCTTCACCAGGAGTATGGAGTTCAAGGCTGGGCTATTGTACAGTTTCTAGGAGATGTAGTTTTCATTCCAGCAGGAGCTCCGCACCAGGCAAGGACCAGTGGCACTGTTTGCAGCCCGACCACTTGGGCAGACTTTGCATACATGGCTAATGCTTGTTTGTTCTCTCCAGGTTCATAATTTGTACAGTTGTATTAAAGTTGCAGAAGACTTTGTATCCCCAGAGCACGTCAAGCATTGCTTCTGGCTCACTCAGGAATTTAGGTATCTGTCACATACGCATACAAACCATGAAGATAAATTGCAGGTATGTTTCCTGTGCTCAAGGAGAGCCTCGTCCCTTTTCTCCCTTTAAAAAACAAAAACCCTCACCAAATCCCTGCAGATTGAGCCATCCATACAACCTTTCCAGTTCTGATTGGGTTGCACTGGACCTTGGAAAAACTGTTTTTAATGTTACACGTGTTGAGTGCTTTAGAGGAGGCCTTCTGACAGTGCTCTGAAGCATTACCTCCTGTTTGTGCTGTTCTTCCTCTGGTTGAACCCACAGTAATGTGAGGCTGCTGCATTTCAGCTAACCCCCGTTAGCACTGCGCCTCGCTTTCACAGCTCAGTGATGTAAGTGGGGCTCTGGCAGAGAAGCACCTCTGTGCTCGTGGGTGCAGAGAAGGTGGGAATCTGCAGCTGTGTGTCAGGGCCTTCTGATCTGCCCTACCCACGCTGCTTGGCTGTCAAACTGAACGCCTTCTTTTCCTCCCTAGGTGAAGAATGTCATATACCACGCTGTTAAAGATGCAGTTGGGATATTGAGAGCGAACGAATCCAGCCTTAGCAGATCTTAAAGTAGAAAGCCTTAACACACACTATGAAAACAGAAGCGCTGGCAGCTGTTTTAACTACTCAGTCAGGACCTCTGTGGACTTTGAGATTATATGAATGTTACCTCATCTTCCTTTCAGCAGTACCAGAGGATTGTGGTACTATGTTCTGTGTATTCTTCCAATGTTTACAAACCTGATATGTATATGTAGTAATATGTATGGACTGTGGCATACTGTGAATGCTCAGTTGCAATAGAACTTTATATGGAGTTGCTCTCCAAACTGTACAAAATACCTCCTATAGAACTGTCGGGAATTATTCCAAACTACTCATTTGAAAACTATTATCTGAGACATTGTAAAGCTCCATTTTTAAAACTTATTTCAGGGTGGGAGGAAATACGGAGTCACCCAACTAATAACCAATTTATGTTAACTAAGAATGCGGTTCTGTAACTTCACATTAACATAGAACTAGCATTTAAAGTAGCTTTAAGCTATTGTATAGTAACATAGAGATGGAGATTAACCATCTTTAGGTAAATGTATTTAAATTTCTAAACGTTAAAAGAAACTTTTAATCAAATGTCTTCTGTTTGAAACTGATCTTTAATTTGAACTTACGTTTGATTCTCTGGTTTTTAACACTGAATGGTCTACATAAAATTCTTCTATTTCAGATACTGTTCCTTGCCCAGCTTCTTCAGTTGACTCTTTAAAAAGCAATGAATTTGATGCAGTGCTTTGAAATGCAAAAGTAAATTGTGTATCATATTGTTCATAGACTTTTTTTAAAGTATCTGAAAGCTCTGTATTTAATTCAGTGATCTGTTTGTAGCCTTTTTTGGATACCACAATGTGGCCTAGGTAGATTATTGCTTCTCAGCTGCTACTGTGGTCTGCATTGAATGAGTTCTGCAGCTTCCGTCTTAAAAAGCACACTGCTCTAAAATTACTTAGATTGAAGACACCACAAATTGTAAAAACAAGCAGAGGAGAAATGCATCTGTCATCTACCAAGATAAGCTAAAATAAAATCAGCTTTTCTATTCCAGCACTGAAACACAAAGGACAGCAGTTGAGCTGAGCCAGGTCCAGGGCAGCTTTGTGAGCCAGAAGTCGTTGTGAACTCAATGTCAACTCCTCTGGGAGCAGCCATGAGGCACAGGGGGTCAGTGCAGGCACTGTCATGTAGCTCAGTGTGCACAGATGTTCCCATTCACTGAACTCCTGCTGCTGCCCTGACGTCTGCTGAACACCTCTCTGTTCAGTGAGAACTTCCCTCCATCTTTGCTTGCTGAGGTCTCTAGCTGGCAGAAAACACCTGAGCTAGAGCAGCCACTGCTCTGTCTGCCTCCTGCAGCGAGAAACACCATGTTCACTTGTCACTTTGTGTTTGAAGCAATGAAGAACCCTTCAAGCCAAGGCTGTGTTTCAGATGAGTATTCGTTCTTGCGAGTTTCAAGTAAATGAAATAAAGCAGCTTAATTGCCTTTCTTGGATCTGGGTGGAAGATGTGTGGGGAGCTGGCATGCAGTATCCTAGCACCCAGGGAGTGTAATGAGTCACACTGATTTTACACACAGACATGTGCACATACAGCTGAGACCCGTTTGTTGAAGATAGATTTTGGATTTCCTTACTACTGCTGTTACATAATCTTGTCTTACCCCACCTATCAACTACTGCCAGTCACTGACTTTCCAGGTGTTTTTCCTTTCTGAGCTGTGAAGATGATAAGAAACAAATTGCCCTCAGTCAGCTCTTGTTTGCTTTGCAGCAGAAAAGGAGCACTTGAGTTTCATTGCTCAAAGCTGGGCCCCAACCAGAAGCATTGGGGCTGCTGTGGGCTGTGCCTCTGTTTGCCTCCAGCATGAAAGTGAACAGCACTTGGCTCCTCCTTGCTTCGTCAGCTGGGACTGGAAGCTGTTGGGCAGCTCCCAGCTCTGAGTGCCTTCTCTGAACACAGTCTTAACTTTCTTCAGTAAGTCTGCCTTAAAATTAGAGACTGCTTACTTTGCCTGTGAGGCTCCGTGCTCCTGACCTGTTGGAACAGAGGCAGCATGGCAGTGCGTGCTGCCTCTGCTGCATCGAGATGAGTTTTGCCTGAAGTTTCCCTTTGGGAGGAGGCATCCTGTGCTGGGGATTCAAACTCCAACAATGTGCCTCTTAAACAGCAGCTAACTTCACAACCACGGAAGTACCTGGTAGGTTGTGATGATGTTCAGACAGCTGCAGGTGACTTCACCTTTCAGTGTTAAGATGCCACGTATGGGATGGAGTTCTGAGCATTTGTCAGTACTCTTTACAACAAAATTAATGAAAACTGAAGATGGAGGGGCTTCTTTTCGAGCTCAGGGGGCTAATTGGAATGTCTTTTTATGAAATTTCAGAGCAAGGAACTGAGGTGGCACAAATGGCAATAGCAGGTTCAAATAAAATTGTTCTCTGTGAGCAGGCGCTCCTTCAGCCTCCAGCAAGAACTGTTACAGCAGTGCAGCCACCTTCCTCACAGTATCTTCAAGCTGCTCTAAGGAACCTTGGATCCACCCCCCCCCCCCCCACCACCACAACGAGATGAATTCCAGCAGCCATCCTTGTTTATATTGTGACTGCAGTGACTGCACCAGTGTCAGATGAAGCTCACAGCTGCTGGCCTGTAACACTGCTGTACTCTGTTACTGGGTTTGGATGAGCAGAGTGGGTAACAGATGCTGCTGCTCAGCAGTGTTGGGCCACAACTGCTCTCCCTGGGGGCTCTGTGGGTACCAGGTTTCATTTCATAGATCTTCAGTTAGCTGCGTTTTTCACTATTTGGACAGGATCTGTTGTGATCTGCACCCAGCCACAGGCAGAAGAGCTGCCACTATGCTAAGCACAGTGCGGGTGCCACAGCTTGCCTTTCATTTCTGCCACCTCCTTTCTCATCATTTTCATGCTGTTTATGCTTATTTGTTCAAGTTGTTGCTTCTTCCTGTGCCTACCTCCTCTTCTGGCTCTGTCCAGGCTTTCTTTTTATTTAACAGCTGCTCCTGCATGAAAGCTTTTCTTTAGCTTTGTAAACCCAAAAGGGAGCTGTGAAAGGCGAAAAATCTGGAGAGGTGCAAATGAGCAGCTGTGTCCATGCATCACTTCAAGAGCAGCTTTAATAAAATCTGGAGTCAGTCAGTCAGTCAAAGACCTCACACCACAGAAGGTTTTGGTAGCTGATTAAGCCAAAGTGCTGTTTAGCTTCAAGGAGCATCCTTCCCTAAGAACGTACTTCAAGACCTGATATCTGAAAACACATCACGTTACAGACCTTTGCCCTTTCACCATCATCTCCCACCTGAGACAGGCTGAAAGAAAAGGGGAAAATAATCTCTTGAGACTGCAGCCCCCAAGAAGAAGTGTATATTACAGTAGTTTCTTGGAGAATACAGGACTCAGGCAGAAAAAAATATATTACATAAAATATTTGCACATGTTAAGTGTTGCATTTTGAAGATAGAACATCCCATAGTGGAACAAAGGCAAACTGTACATTTCCTCCTTAGCTACGCAGCGTAGCCAATCGTGACTGCATTGCTTCAATGTCTTCCTCCTCGTCAACAGCAGCAGCTGCTCCCATGGGTTCTGGCTCTGGCAGAGCATCTGTGACTTTACTAGGTGCTTTACCCAAGGCTCCTGTGAACAACATAAAGAGAGCCCTTAGTGAGCATTAAGTTGTAATTTAATAATCAGCAGCTCTTAGGTACAGGTGTTTCAATAATTCTGCCAGCCACTGTCAAGTAACACCCAACAGCTGTCTGACTTTACAGGCCCTCATGGCTGGGGCAGTTGGATTCATTGGGCTCCTGGTGGCCCACAGAGACTCACCAGCTGTAATTTCAAACAGAATTTTGTCAATTTCCATCTCTGCTTCCTCCTCCATTTCATCCTCATCCTCCATACTTTCGAAGGTGTCCTCCAGCATCTCCTCTATGATACCAGCCTAACAGGAACAAGAAGACAGCAGGTGATGCCCTTGGAAACTGGAGAGCAGTCATTTCCCAGTCTGAGTTTCCCAGTCTGATGCCCATCCAGGACATCCAATCACTGCTCAAGCTTTTCTGAATAAGACTGGCTGTACTCAGATGTACATTCTGAGCCTGTATCTGTACAACTGGAGCTCAGGAACAGCAGTAAGGAACGAGGATTAAAGATGCATGTTCTCACATTCACACCCTGCAGCTGTTATTCACTTTTGTTGTACGCTGAAAGTTGAAAGATGCTACAGCATCTCCAAACCAGCTTAATGCAAGTTTGCATCACAGAGGCATCTGTACTTCACGTGCTTCAGTCACAAAGCCTAAACTACATGACAGGCTGTAAAATTTGTGTCTGACATAAGCTTCCCTTCTTTCCCATCTGCATGTAAAAATACTTCCCTACAGGGCCTGGCACCACATGGCCAAAGCCTTCTGGTGTATAATGGTAAAATGGTTCAGAAGTTGCACAGTGCTTCAGCTCACTGGACAACCACCCCCTGCTCACTCACGCCTGATCTGTGTTACAGATCTTACCTTCATCATCTCTTTGGACAATTCTCTCATGGTCGCCTGGATTTCAGGGATTTTCACTAAACTCTGCATAGCTTTCATGACTTCTGTGCTCTTCTGCAACGAGCCTGCTACTCTGAGGACAGCTGTGAAGGAGAGGCATAGAATAACTTGAATGATCCCTGTGTCACCGAAAGGAAGGAAATTATATCCTTCCTGTGCAGATAAAAACTTGCATTTAGGCAATTTAAAATAAATGTACAGCCTGCAACACAAACCCCAGACTGAATTCTACATTCATTCTCATTGCTTGGTCAGCACGTCAGAACATTCATAGTACAGTGAAGATGCCAGCAGCAGGAACACGGAGGCTGCCCTGCATCTTTCCTTTTAGAGGAAATCCCAATCTGCAGGAATGGCCCCAGCCTCTCTGCTGACTGAGCTACGTGGGGAGTCACGTCTGACTTTTGAAATGTTAAGTTTCAGTAGCTTACTAACCTGGAGTTTGGGGACTTGCCTCCTTGTTGCCAGTTCACTGCAATGTCACATCACATAGATGCAATCTACTCGTGGATCTCAGTCCTCATCAACCCCAGAGAGGAGGATTAGGCCCGAGTGCTGCTGATGTTCACTCAAAGCTGTGTGTTTATGCTGTGCTGGTACATGGCACTGATGGGAGCTAAGCGCCCATCATGGCTGGATGTGGGGACTCAGAACTGCAGCAGCCAGATCCCTCAGGACCAGGTACAGGAAGAATTTCTCCAGGTCCTGAAAGCCCCCCAGCATCAGCTCCCTTTAATAAGAGGAGCCTGCTTCTAAATTCCATCTCACTCAACTCATCCTACAGATGACCTTCTGAAAATGGAAATTTAGCCCTTGTCTCTGGAGCTGGGGGGAGTCATTGCACTGGGGCTTAGAAGTTCTTACCAAGCTGGTTCTTCATCCCCATGAGAACAGAGTTCATGTGAGCTTTGGAGGCATAGAGTTTGCTTACAGCCTTCCTAGAGCGGATCAGTTCCTTGGCCAGGATCACACACACATCCTTCTGCCCCTTTTTGGCAGCATCCTTTATCGACCGTTTCACCTTTTCCTCTTCTCTCTGAATATCTGAAGTACAGAAGAAGATGCACAGCCAATAGTTACAGACTGCTATGGACTTGGAAGAAAAAAAAAAAGTCATTTGCTGGCGTGTATTTTCAAAGAAAATAATTGTTCAGGTTCTGGGAAGGCAAACCAAAGAGAGCAAATAGCAGAGTAATAACACACAGCTCTCTGCTTTTCAAGACATCTCCAAAAGCGTCATGAATGCAAGAGCAAAATAACCATTAAGAAAAGGAAGGAACTCCCATTTCTGTGTGCTCTTTAGGACACTGCGTATCCCCAGAGCTTCTACATGGGAAGTGCCACACTGCACCAAGGCCATTCGTTAAGTCAGTCTGGGGGAAGTTCTGGATAAGTGAAATTCATCCACCAGATGGGACACGGGTACATTAGGTCTCTGCAAAACACTTCAGGTTACGTAGAACATTTTACTTGTAGAACTTCAGAATGATGACATTTCTGTACGACAGAATTTATTTCCACGTTATTTCTCTATTCCAGATGCACTAACTACCCTGGTTTATTTGATTTCAGCCCCTTCCCCTACCATGAGAAGAGAAGGTTCCAGGGAGACCTCATTGTGGCCTTCAAGTACTTGAAGGGAGCATCTAGATAAGCTGGGCTGAAGTGAACGGGATGAAGTTCAACAAGGCCAAGTGTCAGGTCCTGCACTTTGGCCACAACAACCCCATGCAGCATTATAGGACTGGGGATGAGTGACTGGATGAGTGTGAAGAGGAAAGGGACCTGGGGGTATTGATTGATGCTTGGCTGAACATGAGCCGACAGTGTGCCCAGGTGGCCAAGAGGGCCAACGGCATCCTGGCCTGCATTAGAAATAGTGTGGGCAGCAGGAGCAGGGAGGTGATCATCCCCCTGTACTCAGCACTGGTGAGGCCGCACCTCGAGTGCTGTGTTCAGTTTTGGGCTCCTCACTACAGGAAAGATATTGAGGCCCTGGAGAGCATCCAGAGAAGGGCAACGAAACTGGTGAGGGGTCTGGAGCACAAACCTTATGAGGAGCGGCTGAGGGAGCTGGGATTGTTCAGTCTGGAGGAGACCTCATTGCACTCTATAACTTCCTGAACAGAGTTCATGGTGAAGAGGGGTTTGGCCTCTTCTCCCAGGCAACGAGCAGGACCCAGGGAAATGGCCGCAAGTTGAACCAGGTTTAGTTTGGACATGAGGAAAAACTTTTTCTCTCAGAGAGTGGTCAGCCATCCCAGAGAGCCTAGGATGGGTGCCCAGGGAGGTGGTGGAGTCGCCATCCCTGGCTGTGTTCAAGAGGCGTCTGGATGAGGAGCTGCAAGATATGGTTTAGTGCTTGTGGTAGCAGTGGCAATGAGAAGACGGTTGGACTAGATGATCTTATAGGTAATTTCCAACCTTGTGATTTTATGATTCTATGTAAACAGGAGGGGAACGGCTGTTTATGAGGGAGGATAGTGATAGAACAAGGGGGAATGGTTTTAAACTGAGACAGGGGAGGTTTAGGTCAGATATTAGGAGGAAGTTTTTCACACAGAGGGTGGTGAGGCACTGGAACAGGTTGCCCAAGGAGGCTGCAGATGCCCCATCCCTGCAGGCATTCAAGGCCAGGCTGGATGTGGCTCTGGGCAGCCTGGTCTGCTGGTTGGTGACCCTGCACACAGCAGGGGGTTGGTACTGGATGAGCATTGTGGTCCTTTTCAACCCAGGCCATTCTATGACAAGGAAGGCAGGGACACAAAAGAAAAGCCAGAAGGACGCACCTCTGATCTGTCTGTCAATGACTCTCATTTCTTTCCTTATCTTCAGGGACCATTCGTTCACCTCAAAATGAGAAAGCGCGAGAGTTAGCTGGACTCCAGCTGTAAAGGGACGCTGTCCTGCACGCTTCCCCCCAACGCAACCACTCGCACCAAATCGCAGCGCCCATCGCAGCCATCGCCGCTGACCGCAGCCCCTCGCACGGCGCTCGGTGCCTCGCACTCCGCTCCGGTTCCACACAGCAGCACGACTGGACACAAGCGTTCAGGAAGCGGCCGCTGCCCGCGAGGCCGAGGAGTCGAGTCGCAGCCCTGGGGCTCGGCGCCGGACCCCCCGCTGCCACGGCAACGGCCCGCGCCGCCTCCCGGTCCCGCACCCCTACTCCCGCCGCCCGAAGCGGTCCCGCCGGGCGCTCACCAGCTCCTTGGGCGGTTTCTCGGGGGTCTTGCCGAAGAGGCCCATGGCGGAACCGGCCCGCCCGGCGCCGCCTTTCCCGCCCCGCCCGCTGACGGGGCCTTGCGGCGCACGGCCCTCTGCGCATGCGCCGATGGCCGCCGCCCTGCCTCGTTGCGCATGCGCGCGCCTCCGCCCTGCGCGCCGCCGTGAGGGAGGGGCGTAATCCGATTGGCCACGCCCCCTTACCGCGTCAGCCCCGCCCCCCGTGCCGCTCCTGTGGCACCAGAGTAATCGCGGCGTTTAAAGGTTGCAGAGGCTCGGGAGCACAGAAGTGCTGTTAACTTCATCTCACTGCGATGACTTACAATCATACTTACCCTTGCCGACCCTGCACACAGCAGGTGGTTGAAACTAGATGTTCATTGTGGTCCTTTTCAATCCAGGCCATTCTATGGTTCTACAGTGCTGTGACTGTTTTCCAGTTCCCACAGAAAGCCGTTTTAATCGTAGTCACAAAATGGACAGTCCACCTTTGTCTTTTTTTCCCTTATTCAAAACCTAGGGCAGCATGAAAACAGATCTGAGGATGCTTTGGAAAGGAGAGCTCTCCTCTGGGATCAGAGAGCAGGAAAAGCAGCGTAGGAAAGCAGCTGTCACTGAACGAGGGGTCAGCAGCCCCGCGACTGAGGACTGGGACCAGTGCTGGCAGCAGGCAGCCAGCAGGGCCATGCAAACTCACAGTGCAACTGCCAGTCTTGCTCTAGGCCTGGCCTTTTCTCTGCTCCCCGCTTTTACTGTTTGGGGGTAGACTGAGATCCTGTGCTCACAGTAAGCTCCCTTTGGATGCCTCTGCAGACACGACACAAGCGTTTCCTAATATGAAGGCACAACACTGCTTTCTCTTTCCTGCAGGGACCGCCAGGACAGCTGCTGTGGATTTTGAAGCAGATGCATCCAGCAGGATCTGGATCACAGCAATTAATGTAACGCGGGTTCACAGGCACAGGGGGACAAACCCTTCAGTCATTCCCATCCACTGTCCGTAATTATCTGCACATATGGAAGTGCCCTCGGTGGCTCTTTTGCTAATTAAGCAGCACTTTCTGTCATTTATCAGAAGAATTGGATCAGGAGAGCAAGCGAGGTCATTAAATCAGCTGGAACAGGTGTGCACAGCAGTTCACAAAAGCAGCTGACCCAGCGCCCAGCAGCGCTGCCTGGCACGGGCTGTGTGCTGGGGTTGGCTTTCCAGCAGCACGCGGTGCCCTGAGGACACGGCGCCGTACCAACGTGCCCTCGTGGTGCTCAGCAAACCACGCAAGAGCTGTGCAGCAATACAGGCAGGCTGGGAGCTGCTTACAGTAAGCACATGTGTGCTTACAGCACTCAGCGCGATGGTGCTTCACACACTGCAAGCTGACACGCTCTGTGCCCTCATTGTGCCTCCCACCGCTCCACCTCGGTAACGAGGGATGAAGGACATGAACCGACAGCCCTCTGCCGCAATAAAAACACTTTCTGCAGTACAACAGGGCTGGTGACGCCCCTTCTACCTCCTGACCTCAGCGCTGCGATAGGATATGAGAAAAGAAGCACTGCTCAAAACAGCTCTTCTGATGACTAGGAGTGTCCTCCTGCGATGACACCTGCTGATGGGAGGTGTGAAACATTTGGTGACAGAACAAACGTGTCCAGGTCCCCTGCATGGATAAAACAGTGCCAAATGGCTTTGTGAGCACTCACGTCCCATATGTCTCTAGAGGCACAGTAAAGAGATGGATCAGAACTGCAACTGGCACCTGCATTTATGCTTTTCACTGCCTTTGTTAATTGTCCTCCTTTTGTACCACATGGGCAAGAACTGGGGAGGAGACAAAGCAAAATTTCCTCACTGAATTTGCAGTCAGCTGATTCCTGAAAGGCACAGCCAAAGCTGCACTTTCTTACTGAAATACAAAGAAACCAGACCCCATTTCTCATGGCATCAAACAGCTGTTGCTCTTCTCCAGGCAACCAGAAATCACTGCAGAACACCAACACCTGGAATCTGGAATGTTCTGCCTTAACAGGGTGCTCGAGTCACTCCAAGGCATTCTCCCCCTTCATGATGGTTTGCTTTGAGACTGGAGACCATGAAGCCTTCATAGATGTCTGCAGATGAGATACTGGAGAGACAGGTTGTAAGGAAGAGGGTCTGAGAAAGCAATTTGTGATCAATTAGGAAACCCCTGATCAACCAGAGAACCTCAGTGAGACACCACTGCCTTCTGCTCGGCCGGTGGTTCATTGAATCACAGAATCCTTCGAGTTGGAAGGGACTTCTGAAGGCCACCTATTCCAACTCTTCTGCAATGCACAGGGACACCACAGCTACCTTCACAGTACAGAAATGAATTCCAGCATCCCTAGGAGATGATTTATTAGTCACAAAAGTTGTGTTATATTTTTATTGTCTTCACAGATAAATCAGACCAGCAAGACATCTGTAACTATACACACAAAATATTTATCAAAACAATTAACATTACAAATCTCCTTTTAAAATAATTTATTTCACGTATCTCTTTTTAAACGGCACTGTCTTATAACGTACATTATTCAACAAGGATGTGCTGAACAGACTCTAAAATAAGAAACACTTAAATTAAGCAATCATCTCCGGTTAGAATTTAGATTCCCCCCCTATCCTCACTTGTAAACGTTTGCTGGGATACGCTTCTGGTGGAGGTTTGATTTTGTGCTTACAAAAACAGCGTCGAGTTTCAGGATGATGAAAAGAAAGAAGTTATTGTACGGTAAGAATGCATTCAGTTCAACACACAAGGCAACCAAATAACTCTGCCATTAACGTTAGATCGTGTATATTTTAGTTCACTGCACTAACATTTAAACTAAAACTTCAAACCACGTAATCTTTTAAGTGACTAACATTGAAAAGGCAAGCAGTAATATCCTGAAAGCTGACACAGGACACGGACGCACGGCTAAGACGGGGCATCGTTGGACAAAGGCTGTGGTTGCATGTATGGCTGCTTTTTTTTGTAAGAAGCCCACCTGCAGACGGGGCAGCAGTGCCTTCCGCCCGCCAGCCACATCACAATGCAATTCTGGTGGAACACGTGGCCGCACGGCAAGCCCATGAGCAGGCAGCCCCTCTCGAAGTTTTCGAGGCACACCACGCATTCCGTGCAGTGCAGCATCTCAGGGGGCCACGCTGACCAATCCGGCTCGTCTGCGGTGCTGTACGACCCGTACGACCTCGCTTTCCGTCCACAAGGCTCCCTGTGACAACATGGACTGGCACACGAACAGCTGTCGGCACGGCAGCGAGGCTCTCCTGCCCTGGGCCTATGAAATGTATTTGGCTCGTCCTCCTCCGAGATGTCTTTTTCACTGCTGAACACCTCTCTGTTCTCACTGTCAGAGTCACTTTCGCTGTCTTGGAGGGATTCCAGCGTTTCGTCCGAATGGATGCCGAGGCATTTAAACCTCCACATTGGTAAGTTTTTGATATAATCTGTTGGTATCAGAGGGTGAAGCCAGAGATCGGGGAAGGCCAAACGCTCCAGGAACAGATCTGGGTCTTCGTCCCAATCCGAGTCAAAAGGGAAGTGTTGAAAGGAAGCAATAGGGTGAAACAAGTAGCTGGTGTACCAGTCCCACAGGCTTGAGAGCCACTCCAGATTGTTAGCATTGACTTCATCGTTGTTGTTATTGCGTCTTCTCTTCTTCTCAAAGTAATCAATCAGCAAACCATGGCCAAGGTACGTGCTGAGGAAGAGCGCTGGGTGCGAAGAGTAGAACATCCAGTCGGCTCTTACCCAAGAAGCCAATGTAGTTGTGTTAGAGTACCTGAAGAGTTTTAAACTGTACTCGTAAAAGCTGTCTAAGTAAGGTAGTTGCAAAAAACCCAACACGGGTAGCCAGGAAATAATTAGGAGTGAATTATACGTCCCTAAAGTGCTTATAAGAACCACAAATCGCTTTATAGTAGCGCCTTGCGTAATGAACAGGTCCATCCAAGCCATCAGATTAACCAAAACTAAGCTTAAAACAAATAAATCATTAACTTCTGGTTGCAACGAGCGCAAAAAGGAATCCATGGCACGCAGTGATATAAATTCACCAGCATTACTTCCATACCTGTAAATCCCTTCAGGAGTCCTAAGTATGTAGGATGGTGTCTTGTAGATACCAATTTCTGCCATGTAACTTTTATTGTCCCAGTTTTCCACGTTCACAAAAATAAACTCTACTCTCCCGGTAAACTTTACACTTAGTGCAGAGAAGAAGGCTGGAGGCTGGTCGAGGCTGGCAAACAGGTATATTTTCACACGGTACTGGTCACTTCTGTTCCACTCTTCTCTTAAATGTTCAGAGTTGTAAATGGTTTTGATCCGAGAAGCAGCGTGGGCTGTGATCCATTTGAAAATGTGCTCCACTTCAATTTTGCGCCCGCTGTATTCTTTAAGCATTACTTTTCCCTTGGAGGTGCTGGTCTGTGGAACTGACATAATGAGGGTGGATTTCAGCCAGCCCCTCCTCCTGCAGTATCTGCAAAGAAAATGGCAAGTTAGATGATGGAGCTGCATACTCCTGCAGCTGCAGTCCTTACATCTCCTTAATGAGCCCAAAAATTAGACACGGTGAGCACCGGGGAGTTCTTACAGATAACAGCATGAAATACAGGCATCCAATCATCTCTGACAGACAGCACTTACTCTTACAACACATCTGTTATCTCTTTTATCCATCTTTTCTGTCTTTGTTATCTATCTTACAAGAAAGCCGTAAGCGGATATGCATGTGTCAGATGCTGAAAGAGGAACAGTGCTCATTTTCATTGGTTATTGTAACAAGGCCACACATTACACAGCATCACACAGAATCACAGAATGGCCAGGGTTGGAAGGGACCTCAAGGATCGTGAATCTCCAACCCCCTGCCACATGCAGGGCCACCTACCTCCCCATTTAATACTGGACCATTAAAGTCACCTTGCCTTGGAACTGGCTTTGAGAAGAAGGCAAGTGGACTTTTTTCTCTACACCACAGTGCTTTGGTAGTACAGCTATTTTTCATAGGCATTCTGACCAAAAAAAATAACCATCACAATGCAGGTCAATG